ACAAGGCCAACATATTTAATAACTTCTTTGCCTCTGTCTCATTTCTGGGATTAGCTCCTGCAGCGCAGAAGCAGGGGGTGAGGCATGCTTCTTGGCACTGCTACTGGGAGCGCTGTGGAAGTGGTACAGACAAGGCCATACACGTGTTTGCCACGTTAGTGTACCCAGTGGAAAAAATAACTACAGTTGAGCCAAGAAATTTTTAAAAATGGGCACAAAGCTCTTGACAGGAATAAACATTTCAGTAAGAAGCTACAACACGTCCCATCTCAGCATCACATGGTAGATTATCTAGCTGGGATCCTATGACCCCAGCTGACTTCCTGCCCTTTGGGCGGGGAGCTGGACTCGATCTTCCAAGGTCCCTTCCAGCCCTAATGTCTATGAAATCTATGAAATCTGTGAAAGTGGATGAGGGGCCAGGAATACCCTTACACTCCTTTCAAACTCTTTGGTGGCAGCCCCAGCCGAAGTCAGAATCCAGTTGTGCTGAAAATGGCAAATGCATAGTATGAATTCCTGCCCTCAAACAACCTTTACACACTCAAGACACCCCACATTAGACCTCAAGACACCCCTCAGAAAATGCCAGCTCTTAGCTTTCACTCATGGAAAAATAGAGTAATTCTGTTGCAAAGAAGTCAAAAAGACCACAGCAGGTCAGAAATGCTTTCTACACTCTGGATACCTATTTGAAACCTCTGGGTTTACCTTGTGAATCTTGTGTGGGTGTTTCACACCTAGCTGTGCTAATATTGTGTGGCACCCTTAAAATGCTCTCATGACATCCCAGGGTGCCATGGAACCTGGGCTGAGAATCACCCATCTATAATTAAAAGTGAACCAACATTTAGAGGAGGAGGAGAGGGTTGAAGGGGAAAATGCTTTTCCCACTCAGTGGCAGAACTCATCTCCTGCGGTTCAACAAGGCCAAGTGCAAAGTCCTGCATTTAGGATGGAGCAATCCCATGCAACAGTATAGGCTGGCGGCTGACTGGTTGGGCAGCAACTGCAGAAAAGGACCTGGGGGTGACAGTAGACAATAAGCTGAATATCAGCCAGCAGTGTGCCCTTGTTGCCAGGAAGGCTAATGGCATACTGGGCTGCACTGGTAGATGTGTTGCCAGTAGATCAAGGGAAGTGATATTCCCTTCTGTTCAGCACTGGTCGTGAGGCCACATCTGGAGTACTGTGTTCAGTTTTGGGCCCCCCACTACAGAAAGGATGTGAATAAATTGGAGAGGGTTTAGTGGAGGTTCTCTAATAGAACAGCGATGTAATAATGAAACAATGTTAACTGGGACAACGTTAAGTGAGGAGTACCTGGAGCAGCCTTGAACTCCCTGCAGGGGGGTTCAAAGGAGGATGAAGCTGGATTGTTCTTAGAGGTGGCAGATGACAGGACAAGGAACAATGGGCTCAATTTGCAGCAAGGGAAGTTTAGGTTGGATATTAGGAAGAATTTTCCACTAGAAGGGTATGTGAAAAACTGGAACAGGTTACCCAGAGAGGTGGTGGACTCTCAACCCTTGGAGGTTTTTAAGACCCAGCTAGATAAAGCCTTGGCTGGGATAATATAGCTTGGGCTGGTCCTGCTTTGAGCAGGGGGTTGGACCACATGTGCCCTCCTGAGGTCCCTGCCAAACCTCAGTTTCTATGATTTCTATGATTCCAACTCAGGGCTCTTGGTTTTCGGTTAATGCCCTACCCACCTACAGTAATTTCCCCATAAGGACATGGACTTTACTGTCCTCTTCCTCACCATCATTTTCTCTGGCTGGATTGGGATTTACTAAACAAAACAGGCCACATTCAGCCTTCCCATGAACAACAGATTCAGCAAGACCTGGTAAATCTCCACTAGTTTCCAATTATTTATCTCCTTAAGGATAAAACACAGAGCAAGGCAGGAGACCCAGAGCTTGGAGTCTGCATGGCCTAGAGGGTCTATTGGGAACATAATCGCCAAGCACAAAGTTTCTGTACTGCCCTCCTAGCCTCTCCCCCCTCCCCAGCTTCCTGACTCCTTTGGGAGATGTGCTACAATTAGCTCTCTCATCATTGCTATTGACTTCAGCTACCACAGTTTGTCCGTAAGAGAAACTGGGTTTGGATCTTTGTCACAGGAGGACCTGTCCAATTCATTTATGACATGATCTGACTAAGCTTAGCAGGCAAATGGGATTACCACAGCTAAAGGAAGCCAGCTTCCACAGCAAAAAAGCATAAATGGGAGCGATGTAGATAGCAGTCACGTGTTTGGCCACCTCTGATTCCCCAAATGACAAGATGTCCATTTGCAATCAGTCCAACCGGAAGACACTTTCAGACCAAATCTGGAGCAAGTGGTGAATTTGTGCCCTTGGAGCTGGAGCAAGACACCATAAGCACTCTGCAACCACATCCCTGCCCAGCCCATTCATTAGCTTAGGTCTTCTTGTCATTGTTTTTCCCCTCAACATGTCACTGCCTCTCTCCCCTTTATCTGGTTAGCTCATTTGATAGAGCCATTGTGGACCAAACCCAGAAAGATGGGTGATGCTGAACAGTCCCAGGCTTAATTGACCCTAGGCACTGATTCCGCAAACCCAGCTTGGGTACCTGCAAGCATATCTACACCACATAGGCTGCATGCCCTGGCTGGGATGTTCTCAATCATGCCCCCCTACTCACCTTTGCTATTGTGCTCCAAACCCAGAAATATGACAGAAAGGCAATTCTGTGGTCATCAGCAGTGACCACTCCCAAGCATATTAGAGCCCAGTGCCTTGAAAGTGGCCTGACAGTGGGCTCACCACCCTATTTCTGGGTTTGAAACATTGAAGTGGGAGCATACTCAGGAAGGTCCCCAGTGACGGCTCACCACTGCTATAGCATCAATATACTGTATGCTTTAAATGCATGAGTGTTAAATTTCTAGGACGTGGGGGTGTCACAACATTTGGCATGACCATCCTTGAACCCACCAACAGGAAACCACCTCTCCTCTAAACTTAGGCACCTATGTGCATCCCTGAGTTAGAAATCCCAGAAGCAATCCCACCCTCATTATGTGCACAATCTAGTTCCCTCTCTTTTTCTCCTTCAGACTCCATGATGTCTGCATTCTTTTTGGCCTGCCCAAAACGTTGCTAACCCCTTGGATATCCCAGGGGTTAGCAACCTTTTGGGGCTAAGTGCCAAAAATGCCTGCAACCTCAACTTGTAAGATGTTAGCATGCCAGGGGTGGATGGCAGGGGCACCACAAAGGGCCTGATCCTTGTTATGGCAACACAGCACTGACCCCTTCTCTGCTGTCCACCCTGAGGTGCACATGCCAAGCAAAATGCCTTCACGTGCCACACTCTGACACCCGTGCCAGGGGTTGCCTAGCCCTGGGATATCCTGATCCCAGCCTAGTCCACATCCTGTTGGTTAAGATCTAAAACATGCAGAAAGAAAGATTTCAACACCCTAAGGATGAGAAGGGGGTTAGAATCCATGTCCTCCACTTGCCACCTAAGTGCTCCACCCATCGGGCAAAAGGTGCACCCAACACCACCATTTTGAATGAAGATGGCCATGGGTGCTGAATTCTATACCTCCCATCTATCTGTGAAGCTTGAGCTAAGAATTGTTACTGGATCAGATTTCTTTGGGGTTACAGATCCCCCATTTGTGAATCCCAAAAGGATATTAGATGGGATGTAGATGCCCAAGTATCCAGCTCAGCCACGATGGTGGTACATCTCGGCACTTACGGTGGTGGAACTTTAACCACCCAGATTTTTTTTCTGGTGAAAACCTATGATTATACTGGATTGCTCCCTTGGGTTTAAGAATTTAAAATATACCTACAGTTTCATAGTTTGTAGGGTCAGAAGGCACCTGAGTGGATCGTCAAATCTGACCCCCTGCCCTGGACAGGAAAGAGAGCTGGAGTCAAACGACGCCAGCAAGGTGTTTGTCAAGCCTTGTCTTAAAGACCCCCAAGGAAGCTGGTTCCAGATCCTAGCCACCCTGACAGTGAAGTAGCTCCTCCTGATGTCTAATCTGAACTTACCCTCAGCCAGCTTGTGACCGTTATTTCTAGTCACTCCTGGGGGTGCTTGGGGAAACAGGGACTCCCCCAATGCCTGCTGGTCCCCTCTGACTAGTTTGTAACAGGCCACTAGATCCCCCCTCAGCCTTCTCTTGTGGAGGCTGAACAGGTTCAGGTCCCTGAGCCTCTCCTCGTAGGGCCTGCCCTGCTGCCCCCTAATCATGCGAGTGGCCTCCTCTGGACCCTCTCCATGTTGTCCACATCACTCTTGAAGTGCGACACCCAGAACCGGATGCAGTACTCCAGCTGCAGCCTGTCCAGTGTCACAGAAGGGGAGGATCACCTCCTTGGACCTGCTTGAGATGCATCTGTGGATACATGACAAGGTACGATAGGCCTTCCTGATTGTTTCCCCATGCTGCCGACCTATGTTCATCTTGGCATCAATGACGACTCCAAGATCCTTTTCTGCCTCTGCACTGACAAGAAGGGAGTTCCCCAGCCTGTAGGTATGCTGCTGGTTCTCCCTCCCCAAGTGCATCACCTGGCATAAGTTAGTCTTAGGTGCCTAGATCCTTGTCTGGATATAGCTCCAATCCAAGGCATACTGCTGTATCCCACACTGGCTTCTGGAACAGCTGCCAACTGGCATGCCACCAGAGGCATAGGGAGTTCTTTAAAACACCTGAGGCACAGGGGAGGAGACCTCTGTAGATGGGAGTTGGCATGCCCACAGCAGCAACCCCATGGCTGGGCTATCTGGAAGCAAATCCTGGTGTCCCATTCACTCCCACACCTACCCATACATACATACATACATACATACATACATACTGGGTGCAAGGTTTTGCCTACTTGGGCAAAGGCCTCCCATGTAGTGGGGCACCTAACATTGGTCCCAGTTACCCTGCCCCCAGATACACTGCTTGGTGTGGCACTGCCCCTGCTGTGAAAAGGGCTCTGGAAGGGGGAGATCCTGATGCCCTTTCTACTTGGTGCTTGGGTTGATGCCCTTCACCCTGGCCCCCACCTCTTGTTTTGCTACTGGGTAAGCATGTGCAAATAGGCAAATGACAGCTGGCGGACGTCATGGCCGCAGCAGGGGCTAGCAGGCCTGCAGCTTTCACCCTGCTGCGCCTTAACACACACAGGGTCATCTATGTCACGAGTTTTGCCTGTCAGTAGCTTGAGCTGCAGTTCCCCCCAAACCCCTGGACCTATCTCCTTCACAGATGGCGGGCTTCGTGGCCTCAGCAGGGGCCACCACCCCTGCAGTTTTCACCCTCCTGTGGTGTAACACATACACGTGACATGCATTTTGCTTTCAGGAATTTGGGGTGCAGTTCCCCCCAAACCCCTGCACCTATCTTCTTGAAACTTGGCAGGCTTCATGCTCTCAGCAGAGGCTACCACCCCTGAAAGTTTCATCCAAATCAGACACAAACCAACAAGGTTATAGATATTTCATTGATTCCCCATTATACGCTATGGCCGGATCTCCAAAGCAGCTCCGAAGCGGTTCGGAAACTCTGAACCGCTTTGGAAAGCCTCAAGAAGCCGGTGTCCAAAGCATCCAAATCTTCTCCAGATCTGAAGCGCGGTCTGAAGCCTTGCACAGCCTTACTACTGGGCTCGCACCATCAATTATCTCCTTGTGCAATGCCTTGCTTTACAGGGATGTGTCACTCATCAACCCCTGTGGGGAAAAGGGCCTTAAAGTACTTAGTTAGGCAGATGGACGTAAAAAACTGTGCAAACTCCAGAGACTCATCATCTGACCACCTTATTCAGACCACTCTGTTCCATGGAAAACCAGAACTCATCCTTATTTTTTTTTGGTTTAAATAGCAGATGACAAACACTCACAAAGCTCCCCTGAACCAGAGATGGATCTAAATAAAAACACCTCCCCCATACAGTGCTCTCCCAGGCGGGATCATTCAAATGTTGCTTCGAAGCCAAGCCTGTAGGTTCAGTTTGCCAAAGACTGTTGTGATAAAAAGCTTAGTTAATGTATCTGAAAAAACTCTCTCCATTTCCATTCTCTGGTGGTTCAGGTGCTCATAACATCCTTTTTTATATGCCAAGAGGCATTATGTGAAATCAAAAAAAATATTTCCTTCAATAAATCTAATTCACTGTAGAATCTGTTTTATCATCATCATTCTCTCTCTCACTCTCTCTCTCTCCTCATCTCCCCTGCCCTTTGTGTCTACTTATCCCTGAAATTCTGCAGATCTAGTGCTTTGTTGGGCTCTTTTAAGTTTAAAACGCACTTTTGGAAGAAGGAAGATTCTGCAATACTTTATGGATACTTGAAGTGGAGATTTATACCACCCACAAATGTGAAAATAAATGACACTGCTAAATTATAATGGAAACAGGCTCATCCATTCAAGCAGTACAAGCTGCTTATAAATTCTTCAGGTACTAA